TATGCAGACAGATAATTTAGAACTCAAAAAATTGGTGTATTTATATCTGATGAATTATGCCAAAAGTCAACCAGATATGGCCATCATGGCTGTCAACACATTTGTCAAGGTAATGTAACTTAAAAATTTAATAAATAATTTATTATGTTTTATTAATGCACTTTTATCCTCTATATATTATGACACTTGGATGATGTTGAGAGTCTCTATCTGCAAAGAGGCAAGCTGGAAAAAATTTATAGTAGTTTTTTTATATGTCAAAAATTTTTCATATAAATTTAATATTAATTTTGCAGCCTGTCTCACATCATGTACAGACCGTGCTTTGCAAATTACATCAGTTTGCACAGAGCTGTCTGCGTTATGGGACGGAATGTATTATTTTTTTCTCTTAATGAATTGCTTATTTTTCAAAGAGCACGAGACTGGAATTTGGCTAAATATTTATTATTATTTTAAATTATACAAGAATATAATAATAAATTTTATTGATTTAAGTTATTACTACCAAATTCCAGAATTTTTCTTCAGTTAAGCATCGAGAATAGAAATGGACTTATTAACAGTTGTAATATTTAACAATATTTAACTCATTAAGAAATTTACTGGAGAGGCTCACAATATATATGTTAGTTTTTAATATTAATGCACTAATATATTATGCTGGTTTTCAAAATTGAGCATGAAACTTTTTCAACAAGTTACAAAAATGTTATTTATATTTAAACAGTTTATAAAAAATTGTATAATAATACAGTTATATATTTGTATTAAAAATGTAATTGGCCTTACAAAAAAATTAAATATAAAATAGTCTCAGTGATAGAATCAATTTATTTTTTAGATATATCTAATGTGTAAACAGCATGAATAAATTCATTCCTTAAATGTCCATTTTACATGTATGACTGCATTATAAATTGCTGCTTGTATGCAGTGCATATATTTTACACTATTTGCACGCAAAATGTTTTGATTTTTATAAAATTTTAGTCTTAATTGATAAGTGTAATGAGTGTTAAAATTAATATTTCAATGTAATTATTATGAACACATTTTGATGTATACATTTTTAAATGTTTGAATAAATATCATGTAACATATTCTTATGTGCATGACATTAAATTCTCTTTTAATGTAAATTTATAATTTAATTTTAATTTGTGAATTAAAAAATAAAAAAAATTATAAAATAAAAAAATTATAAAAAAAGATCTTAAGATGGATATCTCGTGCTCTTTAAAAAATGATCAGTTCTGATCATCACATTACATTAAATGGTTGATAAGTATAATATTTAACAATTAATCAAAATGGTGACGGTGACCAATTTGACCTTTTTCGTTCTGACACGCAAAAGGAGCTAGCGACATCTCCGATGACAAAGGTACCATACCACTTTCTACTTCGTTAAAATTCATGGGTTGAGATAGATAGCCACTGCTGTGACTAGACTTGAATCCCTGGCTTGCCCGATTTTTGCGCAGGATTGCGAGGACCCAAATCCGTTGATCCGAGCATTAGCAGTTCGCACAATGGGTTGTATACGTGTGGACAAGATTACTGAATATCTCTGTGAGCCATTGCGAAAATGCCTGAAGGATGAGGATCCATATGTTCGTAAAACTGCAGCTGTTTGTGTAGCCAAGCTTTATGATATTAATGCAGCTTTAGTTGAAGATCAAGGATTTTTAGATCAATTAAAAGACCTTTTATCAGATAGCAATCCTATGGTAAATAATTTGATTTTATTTATTATTTAATTTTAATATAAAGATTATTGATTATTTTTTATTTCATTCAATTTTGATATTAGGTTGTTGCAAATGCAGTAGCTGCATTATCTGAAATTAATGAAGCAAGTCCAAGTGGGCAACCTCTTGTTGAAATGAATGCGCAAACTATTAATAAATTATTAACAGCACTTAATGAATGTACAGAATGGGGTCAGGTTTTCATTTTAGATTCTCTTGCAAATTATTCGCCAAAAGATGATCGAGAAGCACAAAGTATTTGTGAACGTATTACTCCACGTTTAGCTCATGCTAATGCAGCAGTTGTTTTATCTGCTGTTAAGGTATATGAAAAATTAATTATTTGTAATTAGAATTATAAATATTTTAGAATTATAAATAATTTATTTCTTCTATTAAAGAGAGATTTTTTCTTATTTAGGTATTAATGAAATTAATAGAAATGTTACAATCAGAATCTGATTTTGTTGGTACATTAACAAAAAAATTAGCTCCACCTCTTGTAACTTTACTTAGTTCTGAACCTGAAGTACAATATGTAGCATTACGAAATATAAATCTTATTGTTCAAAAACGTCCAGATATTTTGAAACATGAGATGAAAGTTTTCTTTGTTAAGTATAATGATCCTATTTATGTTAAACTTGAAAAATTAGATATTATGATTCGTTTAGCATCCCAAGCTAATATAGCTCAAGTTTTATCTGAATTAAAAGAATATGCTACTGAAGTTGATGTAGATTTTGTACGAAAAGCTGTGAGAGCTATTGGTCGTTGTGCCATCAAAGTTGAACCTTCCGCTGAACGATGTGTTTCAACTCTTTTAGATCTTATACAAACAAAGGTATTTTAATTTTTTATAATAATATTTTATATTTTTTTAATTAATATTTTATTTTATAAAATATGTACAAAAAAATAATTATCTATGTGTGTAATAATATATATATATTTGTTATATATATATTTCTATTTTATTAGGTCAATTATGTTGTTCAGGAAGCAATTGTTGTTATAAAAGATATTTTTCGAAAGTATCCAAATAAATATGAAAGTATTATTTCCACTCTTTGTGAAAATTTAGATACACTTGATGAACCTGAAGCACGTGCATCTATGATATGGATTATCGGAGAATATGCAGAACGTATTGATAATGCAGATGAATTACTTGAAAGTTTCTTAGAAGGATTTCATGATGAAAATACACAAGTTCAATTACAATTACTTACAGCAATTGTAAAATTGTTCCTTAAAAGACCTACAGATACTCAAGAATTAGTTCAACAAGTTCTTAGTTTAGCAACTCAAGATTCTGATAATCCTGATCTACGAGATCGAGGATTTATTTATTGGCGATTACTTAGTACAGATCCAGCAGCAGCCAAAGAAGTTGTACTTGCTGAAAAACCTCTTATTTCGGAAGAAACAGATTTATTAGAACCAACGTTATTAGATGAATTGATATGTCATATTTCAAGTTTAGCTTCTGTATATCACAAACCACCTACTGCTTTTGTTGAAGGTAGAGCAGCAGGTACTAGAAAATCATTACCTGCTAGAAGTAATTCGAACGAAGATTCAACTCAGCACACAGCACAACCTCATGCTCAAGTTATTCCTGCTCAAGATTCTTTAATAGGCGATCTTCTCAGTATGGATATTGGTAAACATTATTATTTAATTGTTATTTATTATTGTTTTTATTGATTGTATAAATGTGTATTATGTATTATGTTAATTTTTATAGGTGGTCCAACTATGGTTACTCCAACACCAGCTTCTCAATCAGGTTTAGGTTTAGACTTATTAGGAAGTGGTTTAGATGGAATTTTAGGTGGAACTGATACTGGAAATACTGCACCTGTTGTATCTCAAACTACTACTGGACTTCTTGGTGACATATTTGGTTTTAATCAAGGACCTACTTCTTATATTGCACCTAAAGTTAATTGGTTACCTGCTGAAAAAGGCAAAGGATTTGATATATGGGGAACATTTTCAAGAAAGTAAGTAATATAAGTCATAAATATTAATTTAAAAAATATAATTATTTATTTTGTAATAGAAATGGACAAATTAGTATGGATATGACATTTACGAATAAAGCAATGCAACCTATGGGTGGTTTTGCAATACAATTAAATAAAAACAGTTTTGGTTTAACACCAGCAGCTCCATTGCAAGTACCAAGTCCTTTAAATCCTGGTACTAGTATAGATACTAGTGTAATTTTATCTACTGCTGGTGCAGTACAACGGATGGAACCTCTAAATAATCTTCAAGTTGCAATAAAAAATAATATTGATGTGTTTTATTTTGCTTGTATTGTTCCCATGAATGTATATTTTGCAGAAGATGGACAATTAGATAAAAGAGTATTTCTTAGTACATGGAAAGACATACCTGCTCAAAATGAGGTTTGATAATTAATTTCCTTTTCTATATTACTACTTATACATGTTAGAAATCGATATATTTTAATATTTTAGGTACAGTACACATTGAAAGGTGTAATGTTGACAGCGGATCAAGTTGTACAAAAAATGCAACAAAATAATGTATTTACAATTGCTAAAAGAAATGTTGAAGGACAAGATATGTTATATCAATCTCTTAAATTAACAAATACTGTTTGGGTATTAAATGAATTAAAAATTCAGCCAGGAAACCCTGATGTTACTGTAAGTTAAAATTTGAATTTAATTTTCAATATTTATTATATATTTAAAACATTTAATAATTAATATATTTTAATTATAGTTATCTTTAAAATCTCGTTCAGTAGAAGTGGCACCAGGAATATTTCAAGCATATAATGCAATTCTGCATTCTTAAATAGTAAATTAAATAATTTAATATTAAATTATATCATATGTTGCGCCTTATGTCAATAATTCGTTTATATAAATCATTTATACATATATTATTGCATATAATTTATAAAACTAGAAATTATAAAAAATATTTGTTTGTATTTTATTATAGACATAATAAATTTAATATATTGTTAAATTTATTATAAAATAGATGTAACTTGAAATAAAAACAAATTATGTTAATTATTAATATATATATTGCATTTATTTTTATATAATTAAGGCATAGATTAAATATATATATATATATATATATATTTATATACATATGTATATATGAATATATTTAAATTTTGTAATTATTAAAAAATAAAATTATTTTATTTTTTAACTGAAAATAAAAATAGGATATAATAAATTTAAAAAGTTAAGTAATAATTCTGTTTATTTATTGAATATAAATGTATACATTATGTTGTCTTAACATCATTATATTAGCATTGAACTTTTCTTCTAAATGAACAACCTTCTGTCAATCGAGCTTTACCACCTGTAGATGTACACAATATTGTACGACATCCATCACATTCTACTGATCTCTGAGCATGTGAAAAGATAGTTTTGATAGCATAACATCCAGGGCATTTCACATCCATAAAATAACTATTTGGCTTTTGTACAAGCCTTTTTAGCTTGTGTTTTCTTTTTTCTTCAGCTGGACTTGGATGAAGAAAATCCTTAGCAAGAGGCATTCTGTAAAAGAGTGAAACTATAAAATATAAATGTAAATTTTAGAGGAATATTTTTAAATAAAATATTCTAAACTATTTTTACAACATATGATGCAATTTAAAAAAATATGTATTTTCTATTCATAAATTTAATTTTTCATTTTATAAATCATAACAAAGAATCATAAATATATCATAAAACAAATTTACGTTTTAAATTTTTTGATAAAAAATATATATATTATATATATATATATATTAATTTTTATAAAAGAATATAATGTATTTTACAAAATCTTCGTAGTATATAGATATTAGATATTAGATATTAATTTACATGATGTTACTATTACAGAAATAAAGAGAATATTTTGTGTATAATTTTAATTTATTTTTTAATAAAAAATATATGCATAAAAAATAAATAAATT